GGCCGTCGAAATGAGAGAGCGAAGCGCATATACATGCGCACGATTATCGGCAGGAATGCGATACATCAGTTACACCAGGACGCGACATTTTGTGATTGCGACATGTGAGGTTTGTGAACAAGCGGAGTGACGCCTACAGACCCTGATTTGCTTCCGAACGCGACGCGACAACGCTGGTTACTAAGCACACATCACAGTCTCCTAGCACATTCCACAACAACAATCTCGTATCGAATTCTTCAGACTCTACTCAAGAACCCCAATTTCCTTCTCGGGCCACAATGTGTTCTCCAGCCCTCGTCATACCTCAACCCATAGCCCCAAATCCAGCGATGTAGCCACCGGTCCTCCCACCCAGTTTACCCGAAAAGCCCCAGATTCTCTCCATCCCTCTGCTCCCGCGGACAAAACCCCAACCATTCGTTGCACTCACACATCACAACCGTATCTCTGAGCCTATCCTCCATTAGCACATTCCCACCCACAATTCACAACCTCACAACCAGTACTTACTGTCCAAAAATCCCGTCCTCGTCATCAGGCAACCCCGCCTCATCCAGACAACGCACAAGATACGGCAGCACCTCCTTCGTCCTCCTACAAAACGGAAAAAGTTGCCAATAGATACTGTCTGGATACCGACATTGTGAATGGAATCCCCAGCCGTTGTTGCGGTAGACGTAGTCGATGGGATGGAGCTCTGAGATGGAGTAGTTGTCTTCGTCCCAGTCGGCGTTGTGTATGAGTGTGGAGGCTGGGTGCCAGGGTCCGGTGGGGGAGCATGGTATACGGGTATTAGTGGTAGTGGTAGTGGTAGTGGGAGTGGGAGTGGTAGTAGTAGTAGTAGGAGGAGGAGTCGGGACGACGTCGCCGAAGCCGTTGATCCAGAGATCTGGGAGTTCGTCTCGGTGGAACGTTGGGATGGAATACACGTGGTGCATTATCGCTAATACGATTTTGAGTCGCAGCTGGTGGAGTGTCATGGTATGAGATGCAGTCAGAGTAGGTAGCCCGTCGGTGCCGGGGGTCGTCCAAATTTGGATTGTAACTGTGTTTGATGCTTGGGTAGTCGATGTCTCCATTACGAATGGTAAAGCATTGATACGCACATCGGCCAGTGAGACATCGCCGTCCATCTCAAATTTCAGAACGTACGATGGACCGGGCTGTTGATGCGCCTCGTCCCGGGTAACAATCCTCGCGGTAATGGTGTCTGGCTCTCCATTTGAGTAGGTTGACTTGGGCATGTAGGTCTTGCGGAGGAAGGTCCGGAGATGGTTGAAGTCGTCGAATGTCGTTTGTATCTGCTTTGTGCTCATGGTCAACATGAACGTGTTCTCGAAGAGAAACTTGTCGCGCCAAGTGCGGTAGAAGTGTCTGTTGACGTGGATGAGTCCGCAATCGAATTTCGTGTCATTGTCAAGATCGATGCTTGTTCCCTCGATGGGATGTACGACCATGCAGAAGATGCGGTCCTGAATAGACTCAGGCAGGGTTAGCAAAGTCAAGGGCTTGCTACGTTGCGAGATAAGCTTGAGCCGAGAACCGTCGTCTTCAGCGGTGAAGTCGGTCAGAAAATCAGGGTTCGCCTGGAAGCGACCTGGGCATTGCCATGGCTGAGGTGTAGCTGGAGTAGTACCCCAGTTGAGTATCCCGCCTGATCCGTCGCGTTTCAAAGCAACCGCGCGCAGCTGCTGTCCATAACCACGGAGTTGAAGTTGGCCCTGGCAGATGGACTGAAAGATAGCAGTCACGGCAGTAGCGTCACACTCAAAAGTACTGGGATGCTGCGACCTGGTGAAAGAAACAAGCACCGGCGAGTCTCGACTCCAGATAGCGCGAAGGAGAGTAGTAACATCGAAAAGCTCGGTCCAATCCTTGTATACGAAGCCAAGCCCCTCGTCAATTCTGTGATATTGGTAATCTGCTAGGGAGCTCACATCAAGCTCCATCTTAGTGAGCCATCGGGCTTGAGTGCCTAAGCGAGTGATGAAGGTGCTAGATATCTCAGCGTAGGAGTGGTATGTTGAACGTCTGATATCCGGTTCCAAGGTAAATGTATTGTTGGCGTAGAAAGATGAAGCGGCCTCATGGTATATCTTTCGACAGGAGAGGAAGAGATTGATCGGGATGCGTGACTGGCCGTTGAAATATAGACCCAGATCGCAAGTCCAAGGCTCTATTCCGTAGTATTTTACTTCAAGCGGTGTCGGACATTTGACAACGTAATCGTAGATCTGATTGCGGATTTCGCCTGGTAGCTCCAAGAAGGAGTGTTTGTCTGGGTTCGCGCGTTTCGAGTCGCCGAGAGCAATGGGTGAGGCGTAAGCGTTGACTGACATTTTCGGTGGTTGAGTAGAGAACCGTTCAAGGTAACGAACAATGCTTATACCCGGGCAGGAGCGAAGCCCTAAGTACCACCCAGGAACCTACCAGGCACCAGCACCCCCAAGGAACCACGGTACAAACCAGGCTCTTTCTGAGTGAATGTTCTACCCTTCTCATTCACAGTCCATACCCCCTCAGCCACCTCAACTCCCTAGCCTGATGCTCCAACGCCCTCCTCATCTCAACCCCATACATTCTCTCCCTCATCTTCTCCCCTCCCTCCTCCCCATCACCCTGCCTCTCCAGCGCATCCTCAAAAACATCCCTCGCCATCGGCGGTTCCTTGCCAAAGCCCAGCAGACCCAACTTGCCATCTCCCGTCCACAGAACAAGGTTATTCAGACCGAGTGCTTCTGTGGAGGAAGTCGAAGGGGCGAAAGGTGTCAACAGTGAGGGGTTCGTTGTAGGCAATATCTTCTGCACAATATCCCCCCACCCCGCTTCCTCGTCCGGCGTCGCATTCACAAGACTACCATGATGATGATGTTCCATCACAGCCTCCCCATCCTTACTCCTCTGGAAATCATTAATATTGAACTGCCGCACAGGCGTACTTCCATCCCGTTCAACCCACTTCAAATTCCCGTCTCCGTCTGAGAAAACGAGTCTTGTGCCTTGCGGTGCAACAGCCAATAACTTGGAGCTACTAGCCGTCTGACGATTCTGATAATATGCTTTCTGGTTGCGCGTCGTGCGGCTATCGCTTGAGTTGATAGAACGAGACGGTTCATTCGAGAGGCCATATAGTTCGAGCGAGCCTTTGCCTTTGTATTCACCCGCTGCAATCAACGTATACCCCGGTGTAGATTTCGCGTCGCGCAATAATGCCGGACTGCTGTACGGTCTGCCCAGTCTAAGATCTTGTGGTACAAAGGGATGCGGTATAGCCGTGATACAAGACAGTCTCGCGCCAGAATGCACAGTACCGCGTAGTCTCGGGAAAGACCTCCGGTCAAAGTTCAACATACTGGTGAAGCGTCCTGCGACCCAGATATCGCCGTTTCCATCCCAGTCGCGCGTTGTAGGTAGGTGGAGTATAGACAGCGCACCGGGCTGGGAGAGGGAGACGTGGCCGTCGAAGTCGCCGGTGTCGAGGCGCGAGAAGTCGCTGTCGGTTGGGCCGCCGATGAGCTCGCAGCGGACGGAGGAAGGTGGGGTGGGAGGTTTGCGCGAGTCGTGGAGGTGCAGCGTCCAGTTTGTGCCGACCGTGAGGGGGGTGCGGTGGTGGGCTTCGGAGAGGGCGGTGATGGGGAAGGGGTACGGCGTGCGTGAGACGACTTGGAGGGTGTTGAGGTCGACTTCGTTGAGGGCGTTTTTGACGGCGAAGAAGCCTTTGTGGAGTTTGCTGTCGATGCTTACGCATTCGACGGCACCGGTTTCCGTCATGATGGCTTGGCTTTGTGTGAGGCGTGTGTCGTAGTCGAGGTCTGAGCCTCTGCCTGGTAGCAGCCCGATGTCGCTCTTCGCTATCATCTTGCCCTGTCGGTCGCTGCTCGCTGAGGCATCCCAGATGCTGATACTGCCATCGTCGAGGGGAGCGATGAGCTTGTCTGCTAAGCCATCGTCGTCGAACAAGATGCCCGCGCCCGTAGCCTCCCTCCTTATGACCCCCTCATCTCTCTCCTCCGTCCCAGCATCCTGAAACCAGCTAATCTTCTGCTCGGCATGCCGCTGTATAAAGTCCTGGTACCAATTCACCTTCTCATCAGGGTAACTAGGATCCCAATTCGCAATCAGCGCCTGCCTCCGCTTCTCCTGATTGCGCTCCTGCTGTGACTCAGCACTTGGCGCGCTTTCATCATGTACAGTGGTATCAAATGTATTGGCAAGCGTGTCGGCGGCGCGTATCAGCTCGGCGAGGCGGGGGTCGATGTCGGTGGTGATTTCGAGGCGGCGGCGACGGCGCTCAGCGACCGAGTGGGTGAAGCATAGCGACTTCCAGAGGTTGTTGTCGCGTGAGAGATTGAGGAAGCGACGCGACACGTGTTGGAGGGCGACGAGCTCCGAGGGTTCGAGGTCTGGGGGAGGTCAGGGCTGGGTGGGGGATGCGTGTGATGGGCACGGATGCTTACAGGAGATGATGTGGAGGATCAACTCATCGGGGAGATGTATCATGATGATCGAAGAACTACAAACACTAAAGGAAGGATTCAGAGGGTATAGACGGGTGTTGTGATCTGTGTGTCAAGAACAATGGCGGATGCGACACGTTTATCTTTCGCATCTCACGGTCGAGATTCAAGGGCTCAAGGGCTCAAGGGCTGACGACATGCCGCCTCGGCCCATGACTCGTTGCCCTTTCCCCACACACCGCCTTTCCTCATCAAGCTCACCGAAAAGGGATGTTGATATGTGAGTATAGCGTAGTTTGATTTTATAATGTTCATGACTATCCGCTGCTAAGATTCTTAACAATGTAAGTAACGTGAGTCTTTCATTTCAAGATTAGAATGCTATCTGAATCCTACTCATTACACACGAAAAGAATCCGTGCATGGTATCATCCCTATATTTTGCTTCAAGAACGAAAAAGAAGACCGAAATGCCCCATATCCCATGCCTTTGTGTATACTCCCAAAACGCCCCCACCAACCAATATTCATGCCCACGCTCTACCGATGATGCATCTGCTTCTCGACATCCTCCGGCGGCGTCGTCACACTCGGCAGCTCCGCCACAGGCTGCGGCGGCCTATACGCCTGATACGGCTGTCCCTTCTCATTTAACACCGGATGCACACTCGTATCCGCCAGCTCCGTCGCCTCAGGATGCTGAGCATGCGCAAACGCAGCCTGATTACTCGCCGGTGAGTACTGCGGTGGAATAGTATCCCAAGTCGTCCTATTCGGATCGCCGTTTCCGCCTCCGATTCCAACGGCGTCGGGTCCGTAAGGCGTGCCCTGATGACCCGGTTGAAACCCGTTTCCAGACGGTAATTCAGAGACGCGATTTGCGCGCCCCGCGCCAATTGGGTTCCCGTCGATTTCCGCGGTCGCGGGGCGCGAGTTGCGGTATGTTTCCTTCTTGCTCTTGCTGAGTTTTCCAGCAGCACCACCAACAAGAGGGCTGTCGCCTTCGACTTCGGAGGCAGGGTCGTGGTAGGGGTTGGCTTTTTGTTGGCGGCGCTTGCGGAGGAGCCAGAAGATTATGCCGACGAGGGCGAGGGCGAGGGGGATGCCGACTGCGCAGCCGATTATGAGGCCGAGGTTGGATTTTGAGCCGCCGTTGGAGGAGGAGGAGGAGTCGTTGTTGGCGTTGCTGGAGCCCGCGGTTGGGGTGGGGGTTACTAGGACGGTATTTTGGATTGTGACGACGCCGCCGCCGGCACTTGTGGAGAGGCTTTGGAAGACGGAACTGAAGGGCGTGGCTGTGGTTGAGGCGTCGTCGGCCGTGGCAGTTGCGGAACCGGAGTTTGGTGCGTCGGTAGAGGGCGAGCCTGAAGAACCTCCTGCTGTCGTCTTCGATGCTTGGTTTCCTCCTCCTGATCCACCGCCACTCGTCGCCAGGCCAGTGATAGTCGCAATGTTGGGTTGGGTAGAAGCTTGATTTTGGCCAATGGTCGCATACGCATTGCCGTCTTGTAGCGCGAAGAAGGGTCGCGGTGATGGTGATTCTTTGCAACAATTCACGTTCTGGGCGTCTGCGTTGCAGCACCACTGGTCGTCATGGTCGGAGCACTGGGTTATCGACTCGCCGCCTTTAACGGTCATGCCTAGTCTATCTCAGCAACGTTCTTCTGAACCAATTGACGATCTTACCGTATGTGCACATGTTCGAAGCACAGCCTTCTGATTTCCAGTCCTTGTCTGTACAGCTGTATCGGCCGTACAAGTTGTCGGCGGGATAGTGACAGAGACCATTGTCGAGACACTCCCACTTGTCCGGACAGCAGGCAGAGCCTTCTTCTGATGAACATGGCTTCTCTGTGTCCGGCGCCTTGTTGCCACCAGGGTAGTCTGTTCAGTCAGTCAGTCGTCGCTCATGGTCACGATATCAATTCCGTCTTACAGCATTGCTGAGCAGTAGCGTGTGTCGCAAGAGCAACAACCGCAGCAGAGCGCAACCACATAAGAGTCGGCATGATGCGCATTCACCAGAAGGGTCCCTTGTTCGGCTCAAAGGCGGTACCTGAAAACCTCTTTCGATCCTTGTAGTCGGTTTCGAGATCGAAGCTCCAGCTACGACGATAGTGGAGAAGGTGAAGGTGAGAGAAGCGAAGCGAGCAAAAAGTCCGGAAAGAATCGAGAGTGTAGAAAGCAAGCAGGTGCCAGCCGACAAACTCAAAGACACAAGACAAGGGAAAGACACTGCACGATGATCGCACGCCCGTTTGCACGCCCCAGTCTCGCTCATCCTGGATATACACCGAACGAAGCACCCACCCAAGCAAACTTTACCCCATTCGATCCAATTAAACTACAGTCTCCACAACGCATCACGCCCCCCTCGGTTGCTCGCAGTCCGTTCGTTTAGTTACCGAGAGGCTGGGCGGGTCACGGTGAGGTCATCGGGAAATACCATCACCACCATCAACCCATGCACAGCGGCGCTCACGTTCCTTGCACTAGGCCCGAGCGGCGCCCTCGCCCTCGTATCAGCAGCGTGCGCCAGGCAAGAATTTAGAAAGGTTGCGATGCGAGGTGGTACCAGGGCGGCGATGGCGATCCCATGCGATGCGGCGATGTTTGTGGCTGAGGCAGAGTGAAACTAACGCGTGGTCTTTGATTGTGCGTAGTTTGGTATGCAAGACGCAGTCTGAAGCTGTTGGGAGCCCGCAGAGTGAACACCGACTGCGACTGTTGCTGCGCAGGAGTGACCTACCTACCTCCCAGCCGCTCTGCGATGCGATGCGATACGAGCGATCGCCGCCCCCCATTTGCAACCGTCGCGGACACTCACACCAGTGCTCGCATGATTCAAGCCAGAAAACCGGCTTTCCCTGCCCTCGTGCGCTACAACTGTTCGCTGCCTCTCACCAACCCTGCGGATATCCGTCTCTTATATTGCTATATTAGACAGGTGTCGTAGGACGTATGCGCTTTGTACCCAATTGCCATGTCTCGCTTCAGAGCGTCGCATGTTGAACCAGCCCGTCCCGTCATTGTCTCCTCCGCGGCTCCTATTCCACACAGCAATAACATGATTAATATCCCGTGTCTACATCGCTTCCATGACAGCGAAGGCGGTGGGATCGACCAATAGTCGGTAATGAGCGCTTCGTATCACGGCGGTGGTGTTTGAGCTATGCGGATGACGTGCCTGGTGGTCCTGTTGCACGGGGGGAAGGTCCCGAGGTCGATGTTGCAAGCGGAAGAATCTAAAATTCTAAATACGGTGGGTGTGCACGCCAACAATGCAGGTGGTCTCTCAGCCTTGCGACACCGTTCAGAGACGGCGTGCTTGCCCTGCGTCAGGACTGCGACTTCATGCACACCCTTTTCTCTGGTGGCTTCGCGCGGACTTCGTGTTTGTGGCAATGCAATGGATGTCTGCATCGGAATGTTCGGCGCGGCACTGTTGGCTTTATTGCGGTATGCAGGTGTTGTCGATCTACCGGGCCTTACGCTGTCATCTTCCTGGGGAGTGCATTGCCCAGGTGTTGCAGGTAAACATTTTGTGTAACCCAAGATGTTGGTCCTGCGCACAACATTGCACGAGGCAGTGCATTCATTTCCAACGTTGACAGGTTACACAGCATTCCATCAACCAAACACCAAATGTCAAAGGATCTTGTCTGAAGAGTGAGGATATAGTAGGCTCAACCTCGGCACAACCTCACCTTCCATCGGTCCTTCGTGTTCTTTAGAAGACTCCTTAGTGCTGCAACATTCGGCGCGCGACTCCACCAAGACACTTTGCCTCCCGTATTCGGTCGCTTCACGGATTAGTGATAGATGGTCGTGCTGCGCTAGGCAATCAATAGCCGGTTTAGGGTCGGCAGCTGTACTAGATTACCTATCAGGAACTGCATCTGTAAAAGCTTGTGACCATTGGAGAGTATCATTGCATTGCAAGATACCTAGATACGCATTGTGGTCTTCATCGTACAACAAGATCGACAGACTTCCTCCCACGTCACCCTAGGAAAGACCTGTACGCCCTGGAGGCTACATCGACGTCAAGTCACCAACTCTGCCATTTTTCATGTAGTCGCTAGATCTGCTTTCCTGCCTTACAATCACCACCTACCCATCGAAACGTTAGATTCTGGAGAAGCGAAGAAAGATCGTTGCTGGCAACATGCTCTACCTGGGTCTTTAATGACGAGGATTACCGCACACACCATCTCATCCTGCCACCACACCACAACCACCGACACACTCCCTCTCTTCCAACCTTTCTTCCCGGCCGATACCACAGCCATCTTGTCCTACGATCGCCGCATATCCCGTCGACTCGCTATACACATCGGAGTGCATCTTTGCAATCGACCCATCTTACAGTTTTAAGGGAAAGAAAACATTAAAGACGAGCAACGGCAAAGATGGGAGGAGAGGAGAGTCGCAGCGCGGCTACTACAAAACCCATTAAACAAGATCAACAAATCGGTTGGCGAACGTGTAGGCATAATAGTTCTGGGGCCACTAGCCGAAGTTCACCAAGGTGCAGTTGTAGATCATGGACAGCCAGCACCTACACATCTCCCTCATACACAGCAGCGCTCACATCACATTACATCACACCACATAGACCACACCACATCACCATCACCAAGCACAAAATCATTGTAGGTTATCCATCTCATTTATGTTACCTACCAAACAATGCAGGATGCAGGCCCAGGCCAACAAGCCTTACTTTCCAGCAAAGACCGTGTTATGCCCGAAACCCTCCTTGCAAGCCAGCAGTATTACGTGCCCGGCTATCCCACCCTACGCTCTTCCTTAAATCATGATATCATATCGAAAGAAATCGTTCGTCGTTCATGTTGAAGCTGAAGCTGAAGCAGCAACGAAGCGTTTAGTGGGCTTGACGTCCGCCTTGGGTCTCGTTGGTGATGCCGATGCGCTCGGAGTTCTATTCATCATTCACGTTAGCAAATGTCCTTACAACGCACGGCGGGGCAAACGACTCGAAAAGTCGTATCCCAATCCCACACAAAACACAGCAAGGACAAACATACCTCAGAGCTCTGCACACTACCCTCCTGCAGAATCTTCTTGAAAATATCATCCTCCTTGGCATCTTTACCAAACTCGTTCTCAAGCTGCTGCTTGCTAGCCGTGTTGAGGACACCTTGCTTGCCGTGTTCAGGGACGAGCACCTTCCAACCCGCAACAACGTCGACCATGGGAATCGTGCTATCAGCCTTCCACTTCTGGAGCTCCTCTACGCTCTCGACGAAGATGCAGAATTGGTCGCCGGAGCTGCCCTTGTAGAAGACTTGGGTTTGGGGGGAGTTGCCGCGGGCCATTTTGTGTGGTTAACTCGTTGGTTTCGGTTCGTTTGGGGTATATGGAGGTTGCTTTGAGTGGTTTGAGGGTAGAGTAGAGTGTGTAGATGAGTTGGAATGGGGTATTTGGTGATGTGAGGGAATGGAGGGGAAGCTTTAGAGGGGCTATTTAGAGCTACGTGATCTGGAGCTTTGACCGGGTGGGCGGGCTACGTCATTGCCAAGGGTATTCTACGTACTCTCACCTGGCATGGTAATTGCGCACGCAAGCTCTCGCGCCTTGTTTTGCATATTGCATTGAGGCTCTTTGGGCTGAAACAAGATGACAAGGGTGGAGGCCGGTCTTGCATGTTGGCTGTGTTCTGCTTCATCCCGCGGTTCGATGAGGCTGAACCTCAACCAAGGGTAAACGTCAAGTGCGCATCTCACTCAACTAATCCAAAACATGTAACCATGATTCAATCATTACTATCCAAATACTCTTATCCCATCACAAACCAACGCCGTCCCTCCATCATGCGATCGCGTGCCCAGGTACCAGTACGTACGTGTCCATGTCCCAAACCCGCTAGCCACATGACGTCATGCCGAGTTCCCGATCCCCCAGACTTTCACCCGCCGTCCAACGTGGGCAGGCAGGCTTTCGCCCAGATCGTGAGAGAGCGGGTGTACCTTGCAGTAACGCTGTGCTGATCGCATGATTAATCATTATGTTTGTTACACTGGCCCTTGGTTATCGGAGTTATTGCCGTTGCCGTCGCCGTCGTCTCAGTCGTAGTATTCATATTCTCGTACTTGCTGTTGGAGCAAGGATAGTGTGGTCGTTACGTCGTCAAGGGAAGTATGAACTTGCAATGCGTTGCCGTTTTGTGGACACCCAATGCGTGTCCAGCTGGTATGTGATGTTGGTCCAACAGGATATGTGTGTTGGATCATCGGAAGAAATTAAAGATCCTACTCTTGCTCTTCGAAAACTTGTTCGAGGTGGAGTGGTTTGAAGATGCAGGCCGGGATTCGGGGGTGGGCTCTTCTTGCCGTCGCTGTTTCCTGTTTTCTATGTTTTTGGTTACCTCGGCGCGAGGAGGTGGTGCGCGTACGGTAGTTGCTGTTGATGCGTGGGAGACGGTTCTTTCGGTGACGCGAGCGCGTGATTCTGATCGTGGGAGACTAATTAGGTGCGTGGAGAGACGTCGAACTTTCTTCGGCTTGCTCTGTAGTGGCTTATCGGTTGGACGCTCTACGCCTATCGCTCGGTTGGCAAGACGGCGGCGTCTACTCGAAGGTCGCGTGTCTTCGACCTCAAAGTCCTCAGGTAGGAACGCGGCGGGTGCGGAATGGAAGTCGACAAGTGCAGGGGTCGGCCTTCGATCAGTCGCTGATTGAGCTCGCAGGTTCCCGTTCGACATCTTATGAACGCGGCTTCCGAAAGAGTCTTCTGACCGGGTGTTGCTCGTGTTGGAGAGACTGGGCGAGCGACGCGAGAAATTGCTTGCTATGCTTGCTATGCTTAGCTTTCGCATCACTGAGTTTGCTGAAGCTCTGATTTGGTTCTCCATCCTCCGGTTTGACATGCCCGGAAAGGGCAACATGTCTTTTGTCCATACGTCTTCCAATGTACTCTCGAGACGTACGCGCTCAGCTCGTCGCGGTGCAAGTATAGGGATGTGATTTGCGGAGAGGTGCGATTG